CGCAGCGCTGTTATGCGGATATCCGAATGGCCACCGCCGATCTGATCCAATGAAGGTATATAGTGACCGCATTGCCCATGACAAAGTTATGACACCGATGGGGACCTAATGCTCAGGCGGCTTGTTGGCGGGGGGGTGCCCATTGCTCTCGGCGAGGCCCGCTGGCCCTTGCGCGCGGCTGCCGGAGAAGCGCGCCGGGCCGCGCCGAGAGGGAATGCGGAACCGATTCGCCAGAGCGCTTGCCCTCAGGACGCATGAGATCATTGCGTGGCCCTCGGGATATTTCTGGGAACTGGGGCCAATGAGACGAGCTCTCTCTTGATAATAAAATCCGGACATCGACGGACGCGTCTCTGCCGCTTCGGCATCGGGCGCGATCGCGCCGCCAAGTGGCCGAACGCTTCTCTTATACAGATGCACTTCGCGCCCTAGGACACCGATGCGCCCGCGGAAATGCGCGCGCGCATCCGCTGCAGAACATTAATTGGACTGGCGCGGGCACGACCGACAATTAGCCGAGTGGCGAAACAACCATTGCATTCCTGATCGCACAACTATTTGACTAAGTGGGCAAACGCATGTCCGCAGGAAAATGCAACAACAACATGTACTTTATGAATGTGAAGAAATATGTGTAGTCGAATCGACGCGGGGCGACGCAGTCCGTCGCGTCACCCTGGGTCTAGACGCCGAAGAGGCGATCCAATATGTGCTAAACAAAACAACCGCCAGGATGCGACTGGAATGCGCCGTCACCGCCAGGCGTCCGCAACGTGCGTGCAATGCTGCACTGGGGGCCCGCCATGGGCAAACGACAATCCTAAAGAAACGAGTTACGTTCATCCTAGATGATCGATCCATTGCCTTCTCGATCGGGCTCGACGGGGACTTCGCCAGCACTCTCGCCCTTTCCCGCACTTGAGGCGGACGCGCCACAAACGCAATCAGCATTGCCAGCTGATGCCCGGTTGAAACAGGAAAACAAGCACAATGATAGTAAGGAAACCGGCACCAAGCCAACGAAGGTATCAACAAAAACGGTCGAGGACGGCAGCGGCGGCAGTGGCGATGACCTCAAAGGCCCAGGGGGCGCCACGTTGTACTCCGACGCTCAAACAGAAAAGCTTGTTGAATCTGAAGACGACGGTGATCTCTTCTTGACAGCGCACATCGTAGCGGACACGCCTGCCGAAGTATTTACAACAAAAGCAACCCTATGCTATGGGCGGGACAACGGCGCAGACAGGCTGGAACTATGCTGGGGTACGGGCGGCATATCTCAATGTGTTTCCACGAGGAAGCTAACCTCTTGGAGGCAACCTCGAGAAATTCGCCAACGGTGACTTAAGAAACCCACGGGTATTGCAAGCCGTGGGGCGCTATCTGCGTAACTGCTGTATGCGAATTGTGATACTACCCAACGATCGCTGACCCACCGTTTTTCAACGCGCAGGTGAGCCACGTCACTTGGTATCAATAGCACAAGGAAGATCTTTCTCACATTGCAGTCTGTGGTGAGGTCGCCGTCATACAAGACGACCAGCACCGCCTATCCCTTCAGGAACAACCAGTTGGCACGTGGGAGTATGAGATTCCCCCATGGCCGACTCGAGCCATCCGTCTTGATTCGTCCTCGGCTACGCCTGGCTCCTCCGCTCATGCTTGGCCTGCTGGGCCGCCGGCAAATTTCGTCGCAGGTACTCGAGTATTGCCGCTTCGCGGCTCTTGGACAACCAGCGCTAGGATCGTCTTTTTCTTGATTGATCTGGCGCCCCCTCTGCCTACAATGAGGTGCACTGGTCGAATTTGCGTGATGGCGGGCTGCGGGTGCAACCATATCTCTGGAAAGAACGCCCAGGGACCCCCCAAGACCAAGATGGCCGAGGCCAGCCTTCGTAAAACGACCCGCCCTCAATCTGTGCAGCTCTTGCAAGTGTTAAAGCGTGTGCGCGGCGCGATGGCGAGAACCACATTTTGAAAATCACACGCCTTGAAACCTTGAAACTCATGCAGTTTGTTAACACGAATACGCGCTGCGATAAGGCGAACGCCGCATTTTGAAAACGATTCGCCTTGAATATGTGAAGCCCTTTGCAAGTGTTTGAAACGAATGTGCGCGGCGCGGCGCTGAGGCGAGAACCCCATTTGAAACCACCCGCCCTCCATTTTTGAAACTGTTCTTACAGCTTTTGAGTTTCAGGGTCGCAAGTGGTGAGGATGTCTCAAGCGAAAGGCCAGGCCCGCCCTGTCGACCGGCTTCGGGGAGGGGCTATTTAAAAGAAACAAAAATGGAAGCAGGAGGCGGTGGAGGAGGAGGAGGAGGAGGAGGAGGAGGAGGCCCTCTTGGGCCTCTTGGACCGTTTTTGGGGCCTGTTGGGCCGCTTCTGGTTCGTTTGGGGGCGTTTGTGAGCCCGGGGACCCCCGGAGGCGGATGGTATTCTGAGCCGCATGGATCCCCCCCGGGACCCCCACCGAAACCACCCACGGATCCCCGCAAGAACCCCATGAGACCCCCCCCCGGGGGGGAAGGGGCTTCCATTCCATTCGATTCAATTCGACAAAGACGACGACAGCGACGACGACTACGATAATGACGACAAGTCAAGCAGAACAGCGTTTTCCACACGCCGATATCCAGATTTACGCAGCAGGTGGACCGTTCCCCCGGTGCCACGTTCGAACAGGGCCAGCGGTTTCGTTCATCGATGCATGATAACGAAGTCAAAGTGGGCTGGCGGAGTATTGTTTTAGGGTGTCTGGAGCGGGAGTTTTACTCTCCGTGCTCTGGCCCCACGTATTGTTTCATGGTTCCTTTCTCCAGCGGGCTGAAACAATGTGGTTCTTTCCTGGGGCTCATTTCGCCCTTGAGCTGACACCAGGCATTTGTATTTTGCATCCGTTCGCCCGTGAGCTGAAAACATATGTTTTTACAAGGGTTCCTGTCGCCCGCGGACTGAAACCAAGTGTTTTTGTAACTATGGGTTCACCTGGCCCGTGAGCCGAAACCGTATGTATGATGGTACTTTCAGTGGTGTCTTTCGCCAGTGAGCTCAAACCACGTGTTTCTACATGAGATCCTCTGGCCAGTGAGATGACACCGCGTGTTTATACACTGATCAGCCCTCGTCTCGGGTCGTATTGTTTCTGTGCGTGTCTCAGTTCGTCGCGTCTCGATTCGCCGCGTTTCGGTCCGTCCATTGTCGGTGCGTTTCGCCTCGGTTCGGAGTCGTTCCCTCTTCGTTCGTCCCGCTTCGGAACTGAGTCGGATCTTAGCTCGAGCTGGTTGAGCGCCCCGCACATTTCGATTGCAACCAGCTCTGGGCGAGTTACGTTTTCAGGCAGCCCGAGCTCAAGATCCAGATCAGTTCGTTCAGGGTTTGGTTGCCGAGGAAGACTTGGCCCACATCGAAATAGTATATCGCTAATTTCCGCGTGACATGACACATCTCAAGTCAGCGCGAGACAACACAGCGCAGCCCCTGACACGGTACACAACCATCGATATGTTCGGCATTGCAATTGTCCGTCGTTCAGTCAGGTGTCAGGACAATGTTCCATGTCTCACATTTCTATTTTTTTTCCAGGTTCGAGGGTCGATCATGTTGGCTTTTAGGGGTCCATGGGGCCTCGGGACCGTCAAACAAGTACTCATGATGAACAACCAGTCCCCAGGAGGGGCTCATAACGTTCTGGAAGATCATGATGTCGGGGTCTTGGGGACGGTGATGCCGCCGTCCTGATCGTCGTAGTCGCCGTCGCTGTGCTGTCGCTGTGGTTGTGGCCGTCGTCGGCGTCGCCAGCGCCGTCGCCGTCGTCTCCAGCGCCGTCGTCGTCGCCGCCGCCGTCAGCGTTGTTGGGCCTTCTCGGGCCCCCTTGGGCACCCGCGTTGCCACTGCTGGATTCACTTGAGAGTTCTGGCGAACGCACCGCAGGACGCATCCAGGGGTAGCAGCTCTTCCTTGGCGATTCGACAAACATCCTGGCGGACTTTTCTTCGGGCCCCTGGGTAGTGATCAGCTTGGGATGAAATGTCGTTCCCAGGAGAGGAGTCGAGATCTCCGGGGGCTGAGTTATCACGGGACGAGGGATGAGGATGAAAAAGAGAAGGAGGAGGAGGAGGAGGACGAGCAGGGCAATTGGATGTGGAGGGGGCGAAGGAAGTGGTGGAGAAGGATGGGGTGGAGGTTCGATTGTCAGCCTTGCGTTTAAGGTGAGTCCGACGAACAGGAAGGATGGCGAGTATCGGCGAAGAGAGCGGAGCACGCGCAGGCATCAGGAGGGGGAGCTGGAGGGCGGATGCGATGAGGACGGAGGAGGAGGTGGAGGAGGGGGCGGCGGCGGCGGATGACGAGGAGAATGGCAAAGGTGGAAAGGGTGAGGGGGGAGGATTACGAAGCTCGTGTTCGGCTAAAAATTAATCTAAACCCATCTTGAGGGATGAGGCGGTCATCGGCGAAGTCCTGGAGACTGTGGATTGTGGGGAAGCTTGCGGGAAGTCCGTGCTGTCAGAGACCAGTTGTGTTCCGATAATGGGTCATATCTATAGAGTACATGAGATGGCCGAATCTTGATGCCAGTGGCCGTGGTGGAACTAGTCCATGGGGGTGGTGCCACTGGCCGTGGTGGAGCGAGTCCACGGGCAGGATATAGAATCAAATGCTCCAATCCTCGGTTTCGGCCACGCCTTCCACAATGGCGTCGCCTACAAGGTCATCGGCCCCTGCCGATGGGAGCACGCTCGTGACCCCTTCCCGTGACCCTGTGCCATGTGTCCGGGCGGAGTCTTCTCGTGGGCGCCCTAGTCTGCTCAGAGGTGGGAGACATCCCTGGCCTGACCGGACATGCGGCATGCTTTCCACCTCTTCTTGGGCGCTGACTTGAGCTCGAGCCATGTTTTTGGGCGACTTGTAGACGCGCGTCAGCGAAGGCATGCCGGGCCTTAAACACAGATCCCCTCCTCGCTTTTGGAGGGTGCGAGGCGCCCGCGCGCCCCCCCCCGCGAGGCGAGGGGCCCTCGGCGCCCCCTCCTCCTCAGTGGGCGCCGGCTTGCCCACGATGTCCCTCCTGGCGCTGCTGCACCGAGGCGCGCCGGCCAATGCCTCCGTGCGCGCACTCTGCGCTCGGCCGTTTCGCTGGGCGAACAACTGGCGAGCGACGCCGACCGACGACGAGGAGGAGGAAAAGGAGGAGGAGGAGGACGAGGAGGAGGAAGTGGAGAACAATGGCGAGGAGAAGGACGAGGATGAGGACGAGGAGGAGGAAGAGGGGGAGGAGAAGGATGAGGAGTCGAACGCGTTCCACGATTCGCAAAGTCCCTACTCGCAAACGTCTGACACACACACACACACATGTCAGCTTCGATGCAATGGATCGTAGATCCCGCGCGGCGGATCCACGAGGAGGACGAGGAGGACCAGTGTGATTCAGCAGGGTCCCTCCTCATCGGGGGTTAAAGGGGTCATGCCCGCTGAGGGATTTGCGTTTTGGGGGGCAACCGTGTGAACATGTTGAAGCGTGCCAAAGCACCATTCTAAGGAGTTCTATATACGCCACGAGTTAACTTGACTGTTACGTTTTGTTGATCCTGAATCTTGCCAGAACATCATTCCTGGGACTTCAACACCGCCAACCAACGTAACTGTTGCGCTCTGACAGTCCTGAATCGCTGCCAGACGCAATTTTTTTACGTTCGCCATGCGAATCAGTGATTTTGCAAATGGAGCGATTGTCTGCGGCGCTCGGGCGAGAGCCACATTTTGAAAACGTCCCACCCTCAATCCGTGAATGTCTTGCACATTGTTAAGACGAGCGCGCGCGGCGCTGAGGCGATCGCTGCATTTTGAAAGCGGCCCGCCTTCAATCCTCGAGTGCACGCGGCGCTAAGGCGAGAGTCACGTTTTGAAAACGACCCGCCCTCAATCCACGAAGCTCTTGCAAATTGTGAGGACAAATGCGCGCGACGCTGAGGCGAGAGCCACATTTTGAAAATTGGCCGCCCTCAGTTCGTGACGCTCTCGCAAGTTGGCAAGACGAACGCGCGCGGCGCTGAGGCGAGAGCCACAATTTGAAAACCGCCCGCCCGCGAGTCGGGAGCTTCTTGCAGATGTTCGAAAGCAACGTGCGCGGCGCAAAGGCGAGAGTCACATTTTGAAAACGACCCGCCCTCCATCCGCGAAATTCTTGCGACTGTCCAAAACAAATGCGCGCGGCGTTGAGGCGAGAAAAGATACCCGCTATCACTCCGGGAAGCTCTTGCAAATTTTTAAAGCGTTTATGCGCGGCGCTGAGGCGAGGGCCGCATTTTGAAAATTACCCCCCCTCCATCTGCGAAGCTCTTGCATTTTTTTAGCGAGTTGCGCGGTGTTAAGGCGAGAGCCACATTTTGAAACGGGGCCGCCCACAATTTGTGACATTTCAACACACGTGCACAACGAAACCAATGCGCGCGGCGCTTCTGCGATAACCACATTTTGGAAACGACCCGTCCTCAATCAGTGAATTTATAGCAAAGTGTTGAAAAGCGTGCGCGCGGCGCTTCGGCGTTAGCCACATGGGAAAACATAGAATGTAAAAACGGCCCACCCTCGATCCGCAACGCTCGCGCAGACCGATAATGCGAATGCGCGCGGCGCTAACGCGCTAGCCGCATTCTGAAGTCGACCCGGCATCGGTCCGCGGAGCCCTCGCACGCGTTTGAATCCTGAGGCGAAAGCCGCGCCGGCCACCCGCATTCAATCCGTGTAAACGAACGCGCGCAATGCTGAGGCGAGAGCCACACGTTGAAAAACCGCCCGCCCTCAATCTGTGAAGCTCTTGCAAGTGTCAAGGCAAATGTGCGCGACGCTACGGCGAGAGCAACGCTTTGAATTTCGACCGCCCGCAGCCCGCGAAATTTCGGACCTGCTGAGAACGAACGCGTGCAGCGCCGAGGCGAGAACGACAAGCAGAAAACCACCCGCCCCCAATCCGCGAAGCCTGTGCAAGTTTTAAATCGAATGTGCGCGGCGCTAGAAAGAGGGGGGGCACATTTTGAACGCGGCCCGCCCGCAATCCGCGTCGCTTCTGTATTTTGTTACAACGAACGCGCGCGGCGCCCGTTCGAGGGCCGCATTTTGGAGGCCACCCGCATTCTAGATGCTTTTTTTTCCCTTAAGAGAACGCGCGCGGCGTTGAGGCGAGAGCAGCGCAATGAAAACGGACCGCCCACAATTCGTGGGCCTCCTTGCAAACGCGCGCAGCGAGGTCGCGCGGCGAGAGCTACGTTACGTGAATCTCTAGCGAATGCGTTGGGCCAGTTCGCGCGGCGAGAGCTACGTTACCGACGCCGCCCGCGCGCAATCCGCGCAGGGCACTTCCAATTCGGCGCGGCGAATGCGCGCGGCGGCAAGGCGAGGGCCGCATCTTGATAGCGGCCCGCCCTCAATCCGTAGAACTCTTGCAATTATTGAATCGCTTCGCTCATTCCGCCGGCCCGTATTGTGCCATCGCGGGTTCTTGGGGGGTCTTGGGAGCCCTTAGAAGCTTCGTGGGAGCTTCTTAGGAACTTTGGGAGGCCTCGTGGATGGCTCTGGGTGGGCCATCTTGGTGGTCTCTTGGGGGGGTCTGCCTGGCCTCTTGGGGGCCTCCTGGGAGTTTCCTGGGGGTCTCTTGGGGGCCTCTTGGGGCTTTCTTGCGGCCTCTTGGGGGCCTCTTGGGGCTCTCTTGGGGGCTTCGTGGGGCTACTTGGGGGTTGGCATTTCGGGGGCGTGTTTGGGCGAATCATGGGGCCGTCTTGGGGCCTCTTGGACCGTCTTGAGGGTTTCTTGGGCCTTCTTGGAGCGCTCTTGGGCCGTCTTTGAGTGGTCTTGAGGGTCTCTCGGGCCGTCTTGGGGTGATCTTGGGGGCCTCTTGGACCGCCTTGAAAGGTGTGAAAGACGAAGAGGCGGATATGTTAAAAATGCACGTTTTCCTAGGGGAATGAGACGGTTTTTGCTTGTGGGAGCCCTCTTGGGACGCCGCTTAGGGACCTCTTGGGGCGTCTTGAAGGCCTGTTGGGCCGTCTTGAGGCCATCGTAGGCGCTTGGGGGTGATATTTCGGCGTCTCCCGGCTCTCTTGGACCGTCTGGAGGGCTTCTCGGGCCCCCCTTGGACCGATTTGGAGCGCTCCTGGGCTCCGAAAAAGAGTTCTTGAGGGTTTCTTGGGCCTTCTTGGAGCGCTCTTGGGCCGTCTTTGAGCGGTCTTGAGGGTCTCTCGGGCCGTCTTGGGGTGATCTTGGGGGCCTCTTGGACCGCCTTGAAAGGTGTGAAAGACGAAGAGGCGGATATGTTAAAAATGCACGTTTTCCTAAGGGAATGAGACGATTTTTGCTTGTGGGAGCCCTCTTGGGACGCCGCTTAGGGACCTCTTAGGGACCTCTTGGGGCGTCTTGAAGGCCTGTTGGGCCGTCTTGAGGCCATCGTAGGCGTTTGGGAGTGATATTTCGGCGTCTCCCGGCTCTCTTGGACCGTCTGGAGGGCTTCTCGGGCCCCTCTTGGACCGATTTGGAGCCCTCCTGGGCTCCGAAAAAGAGTTCTTGAGGGTTTCTTGGGCCTTCTTGGAGCGCTCTTGGGCCGTCTTTGAGCGGTCTTGAGGGTCTCTCGGGCCGTCTTGGGGTGATCTTGGGGGCCTCTTGGACCGCCTTGAAAGGTGTGAAAGACGAAGAGGCGGATATGTTAAAAATGCACGTTTTCCTAAGGGAATGGGACGATTTTTGCTTGTGGGAGCCCTCTTGGGGCGCCGCTTAGGGACCTCTTGGGGCGTCTTGAAGGCCTGTTGGGCCGTCTTGAGGCCATCGTAGGCGTTTGGGAGTGATATTTCGGCGTCTCCCGGCTCTCTTGGACCGTCTGGAGGGCTTCTCGGGCCTCTCTTGGACCGTTTGGAGCCCTCCTGGGCTCCGAAAAGGGACCTTGCCGGGACCTTGCCGGGGTACTTTTCGTCCGGGGACCCCCAGGGCCCGCCCCGCGCGCGCAAACTAGAAATATTGTTGAGCAGTTACCGGACATCTTAGCACGCCTCTGGCCCGTTGGGCCGGCGAATTTAAAACGCGTTTGCGCGGCGCTGAGGCGATGGCCACATTTTGAAAGCGACCCGTCTTCCATTTGCGACGCCCACCCCCCCGCCCACCCCCACCCCCCTTCCATCTGCGACGGCCCCCCCCCCCTCTCGGCCGAAGGATTGCGCTTCTCCGCGCCGGAAGCGCTGTCCCAGCGCTGGAAGGGCGATATGGCCATTGCCTGTGCCCCGCGCGCTTTCGTCTCAGGAACTTGCAAGAGTTTCGCGGATGGCGTGCGTTTTCTGGCTCCCGCATCGGCGCCGCGCGCGTTCGATTCAAGCGCGTGCAGGGACTTTGCAGATTCAGGGCGGCTCGTTTTCAACATCTTGTTTTCGCCTTAGCGCCGCGGGCATTCACTTCGAAAGCGATGCAAGAGCTTCGCGGGTGGAGGGCGGCTCGTTTGCAACATGTGGCTCCCGCGTCAGAGCCGCGCGCGTCTGTTTCGAAGACGTTGCGCGAGTTTCGCGGATTGTGGGCTGCTCGTTTTCAAAATCGAGTTCTCGCCTTAGCGCCGCGCGCGTTCGTTTCGAAAAGTTGCGGGGGCTTCGCGGACGGCGGGCGGCTCGCTTTCACAATGCGGCTCTCGCCTCGAAGAGCTTCTCGGGTTGAGAGCTGGTCCTTCTAAACGCGCGGTTCTCGCTGAAGCGCCGCGCGCGCGTTTTGAACGCGCGCGAGAGCTTCGCGGATGGAGGGCGGCCTGGTTTAAAAATGTGGTTCTCGCCTCAGCGCATCGCGCGCTCGTTTTGACATCGTTGCCCGGGTTCTGCGGGTGGAAGGCGGCTCCGTTTTCAAATTGCGGCCCTTGCTTTGAAAGCGTTGCGCGAGTTTCGCGGATGGCGGGCGGCCCGTTTTCAAAGTGCGGTTCTCGCCCGGGCGCCGCGCGCGCTCGGTTTGGGCGCGTTGCTGGACCTTTACGTGTTCAGGGCGGCTCGTTTTCAAAATTTCGTTTTCGCTTTTGCGCCGCGGACATTCGTTTCGAAAGCGATGCAAGAGTTTTGCGGATGGAAGGCGTCTCGTTTGCAACATGTGGTTCTCGCGTCAAAGCCGCGCGCGCGCGTTTTGAAAACGTTGCGCGGGCTTCGCGGATTCGGGGCTGCTCGTTTTCAAAATCGAGTTCTCGCCTTAGCGCCGCGCGCGTTCGTCTCGAAAAGTTGCGGGGGCTTCGCGGATGGCGGGCGGCTCGTTTTCACAATGCGGCTCTCGCCTCGGAGGGCTTCTCGGATTGTTTGCCAAGGGGCTTTTGTAAACATATGATTTGGATGAACGAGTGCGCGCGCATTTTCTTGGCAAAGGTTGAGGGGGGGTCGATACTGGCCTGACTGGGATGGTGCGAGTTCATATTTCGGATGGACGACTGGCAGAATCATCTGTAAATTGCAATACGAGCAGGGGGGCGGTTGAATCCAGGAGGGGGGATTGATCCGATTATGCATTTAGACATGAGAGCTTTCGTGGTGCAGTTTGTAAGTCATGTGGTTCAATGCATGTTGTGCGGCGACGAGGCGGCGGCGGGTGGCGACGAGGCGGCGACGGGCGGCGACAAGCGGCGACGGGGCAACCAGTAGCTGGCCGGGGCGACACGCCAACCCAGTTTGCGGCGGCTACGAGGCGGCGACGGACGGCGACGAGCGGCGACGGGGCGACCACACGCCAGCCAGGGCGACACAGCAATACAGTTCTTTTAGAAAGAAGAACCGCTAAGTGCAAGCACTGTTTGGGGAATGTTGCACGCCTGTGGCCCATTGGGCGGGCGAGTTTATTTTGCTGTCCCCTGCACCGGTGCTTTCTTGAAACTCCCCCTGGCTTGTCCTCCTCAGTCTGCGGGACTTTACGGGCATTCCAGAGCGCTCTTTCGTCGGGTTTCCGACGTGCCTGGGTTGATCCCATTCCGGACTGCTCCTCCAGCGCATTTGGACGCCCAAGTAGTCAGTCGCAAGTGTCTTTCTTTTCTCTTCTGTTCCTCTTGTTAGGGGCAAAGTCAGGGGGGATCGACTCAGGGGGCATGCGGTGGCCCCCGATCGCTCATTGATCGCCGATAAGAGCCCGATAGCCCCCACCCTCCTTTGACTGTGTGGATTCGGTATTGGGGGCCTATCGCCGATCAATCGGCGATATATTGCGAATTCACGCTAGATGTGTATCGCCGTCTGAGCTGGTCCCCCTAACGTTGCGCGTCATTCTGGTCATACTCCTCCACTCTGGCCCGGGCTCATATCAGCGCGGGCAGCAAATCATCTGGCCACCGACCGCCGAGCAGGACTGGGCGCGCGATGGGCGGCCTCCTGGATCCGAAGACCCGGCTAGCGTGCAGGCGCAAAATTCAGGTGCTGCTAAAGGTGCCCCTTTGCCAAAGGTGCCCCCAATTTTTCGATCTGGGGGCACTGTGAGGGGTGCTTTGTAGGCCGCGAGGGCCTCCTTGGACATCCGGGGGGCACCTTGGGCAAGGGACATTTTTGACAACGCCCGAAACATCGCGGAGTTAGAGGAGAGACTCGGGGAGATCGAGGCGTTGAAGGCCGTGGAGCCGAAGCTCAGGCGCGAGCTGCACGCTCAGAGGGAGAGGCTGGCGCTGTGCGCGTCGGACGACGAGGACGAGTTCGGTGAGGAGCAGCCCGAGGAGGCCGAGCAGCCCGACGCCCAGAGGCGCCTGAAGGCCCTCAACAAGAAGCTCAAGCAGATCGCCGAGCTGAAGGCGAAGGGGGGTGTCCTGGGCCCAGAGGTTGCCGCCAAGGTCGCCTCGGAGGCCAGGATCCTGAGGGAGATTGGCGCCATCAAGGCCGGCAAGCCCTTCGACGAGGCTCAGGACACAGAGGTGCAGGCCGAGGTAGAGGCCCGGGAGGCTGCGAAAGCGCCCGGGAGGGCCACTCTTCCGACAGACGAGGCTGAGCGCGAGAAGCGGCTGAGGGTGCTCCACAAGAAATTCTTGACGCTTCGCGTATCCCCACCAGCCCATCCAGAAACGATGTCCAGGCAAGTTGAAGAGATCAGGGAAGTGGGGGGGCAACGAGAGGGACAGCCGATCCGTGCAAAGGATGAGGCGGAAGAGGAGGCCAGATGGATAGATGAGGGGGTGGCGAGGAACCGAGCGAAGGAGGGATGAGGAGAATGATGACGCTGGGTGGATGGTTGAATGCCGCTCGGATGCCTCTTGGAAGCCTTTTGGAAGCCTCTTAGGGCGTCTTGGGGGTCTCTTGGCGGTCAATGGGGGCTCTTGGGCGTCTTGGGTGCTTCGGGTGGGCCTCTGGAGGCCGCTTGGGATCCTCTTGAGGGGCTCTTGGGGGCCTGTTGGAGGCCTCTTGGGGCCTCTTGGGGGTCTCTTGGAGCTTCATGGCGGCCTCTTGGAGCCTCTTGGAGGCCTCTTGGAACCATCCTGGGAGCCTCTTGGGGACTTCTTGGGGCCTCATGGCGGCCTCTTGGGGCCTCTTGGAGGCCTCTTGAAGTTTCTTGGGGCCTCCTGGGCGCCCTTTGGGGCCATCTTGGAAGCGATCGATCAAAGAAGAGGGTGGAGTTATTTAATTTTGCCCCCCCCCCAGAGGCCAACATGGAGCCAAAACCCTACTAAAACCGATGATTTTGGCTTCCTCGCCGAGGCCGTTTTGGACGCTCTAACTACCAGCGGCCCCCCCCCGCCCAGGTCCAGGGGAGGGGGTTGGGGGGAGGGGTAAACCCCTCCCCGAAGGGGAAGAAGGGAAGATGGAAGAGGAAACTCCCTAAACAACCTACGCCCAGAGGGCTGGTGGGATTGCAGCAGATCGCGGATCTCAAGAGGAAGGAGGCTGAGCTCGACGACGAGGCAAAGGCGAAAGTGGCCTCCAAGTGGCGCGTGAGACAGGAGATCGCCGCTCTCGAGAGTGGCGGCATGGAGGTGGTCTTCACGGGGCCGACCGAGGAGGACCTGATCGAGGAGGTGACGGCTAAGAAGATCGAGCTAGAGAAGAAGCTCAAGGCAGCGCGCAAGAAGTTGACTCAGATAGAGGCTCTGAGGAGCAAGGGCGGCGAGCTGGAGGCCGACGCGCGGGCGAAGGTGGACTCCGAGGGCGCCCTGCGGAAGGACCTGGGCGCACTGGAACGTCAGCTGGGCGCTGTGAACCGAGCGGAGCGAGAGCGCGTGGCAAGGCGGCTCGGTTGGCAAGAGACGTGCCCTGACGCCAAGCAGAAGCCCCGTAGCTCTAAGAAGTAGCCCATCAGGACCAGATCGCCGTCGTGGTCGGCATTGGCCCGCGAGATTAGTTAGTGATGATTGGCCAGCTTCCTTTGAAAAGCCCCGCAGCTCAAAGAAATAGTCATCAAGACCAGATCGCCATCGTGGTCGGTATTGGCCCGCGGGATTAGCGATGCCTGTCCAGCTGCCCCTGAAGTGCCAAGCACAAGTATTGGCACGCGCCCGCCGCGCCCAGCGTGAGCACAGCCGCCGTCGGAGTGCAACGCTTGAGCGTCGAGCGGATTTCAGCCATGTAAGTATTGGCTGGTCTCTCGCATCGGCACGATATCGGAACGCCACTTCGCGGCCCGAGACACGGGTCCCTTTGTTCCTCTCTCTGCTCCTTTGTCGGAGAGGCTCGGTGTAAACACCGCGTCGCTCGGTCTCCCAGGGCATTTGGCGCACGGGCGCGGCGTCCCGCATCCTGGTAACCTGCGCCGCCTCTGCGCCAGTCCCCGTGGCCGACCCGACGACGCGGCGTCTGCACCAGGCCCCGCCGCGCGTGCTCGGCCCGCCCGCGGCCGGCCTGGGGCTCCGCTCGGGATGCGCCAGGGATCCCCCGCGATGCCCGGCAGAGCGGCGGGCGTGCGCGGAGGCAGGAGGGGGGCCCCGAGGCGCCAGCCGTGCGCGTACGCCCGGGAGCGAGCGCTCGCGGGCGGCGGCGCTCGGAGGCAAACGCCGGGTGGGGGCGGGGGGTGCGCCCACTCCCGGCGCCCAGTGCGCACCAACGATTTCTCGCTGAAGCGGCTGGTGATAGACGACATCCTGCTGTTCGACCTCGGCCTCAGGGGGACCCAGGTCGACATTGCTGGCCGCCCCGCCCTGCCGTCGCCGGCCCGCGGCCGGAGACCTCTTCATCCTTGTGCTCGCGCTCGTGCTCTTGCCTTTCCTCGTCCTCCTCACCCTTGCTCCCGCCTTCGGCGCGGCCCGGGGGGGCAGCTCACCAGGCCGCTCGACCAACACGGGGGAAGGCGCGCGCCGGCCCCTGCCGTTTGCACCACGGGGCTCTCCCGGCCCTCTCCCCAGGACTGCCGCGTCAGGCTGTTTCGCTCACTGCCCTGGAGCCAGGAGACGGCCGAAAACGCAGAGAATTGTTCACGCCGTGCTCGGCAGGAGGAGGAGGAGGAGGAGGAAGAGGAGGAGGAGGAGGAGGACGATGGCGACGATGACGATGACGACGAGGACGACGAGGACGACGAGGACGAGGACGAGGACGAGGAGGGAGAGAAGTTAGAGCCGTTGCTCGCCTCCCCAGCCCAAGCGAGCCGAGCGGGGGGCGTTCTAGTGTTTCTACCGGAGGATGTGTTTTCGTGTTGTTGCTAGGCAGCTATACCAGGCTTGCATGGAAGTTTTACGGGCACGAGGAGGATCTGTTTGAAATAATTTGCAAGCGGATGTGTTAGGATGCCATTAGGGCTGTATGAGGGGGGAAGTAGGATTTGAGGTCCAGGCTCAACCGCAGGTTGTAGTGAGAGCTGCAGGGCGCCTCGCTGGGGCTTGTCTCAGATCTATAGCACACTTTCGCGATATTTCGTCACATCTGTAGGGCCCCAACATGATTCTACAGAAGCTGCCAGGAAACCCAATATGGAATCGCATGTTGGCTACAGGCAGCGTTGGTGGGGCCTATCACGCGCGTAGGGTCGTAGGGAACCGTACGTAGTAGGATTCGCTAGGAGTCGTGAATTGTTGTTTGTAGGATTCGACTAGAGCTGTGGGTAGCGCTGACAAGTTCTTATAAGAGCTGTGCGCAGAGCCGACAGGATTCATCTAGGTCTGTAGGCCTCTTTGGTATGATTATGTCAGCGATGTAGGCAACTCGCATTTGATCGTGTCAGAAGTGTAGTCAGCTGCGCTCGAATTCTGGTCGAGCTGTAGGCATGTGTGGTAGGACTACATTCGAGCTGTAGGGCGCTGTGGGGCACTCCGATGGGATTATACAATATCGGATATGGATTTGGAGGCGCACAGGGGCCCTAGCTGGATTACAGTGTGGATGTGGGGATCCTTTTGTAGGATTACTTTGAGCCGTAGGCTGTAGGATTGAATCATCTGTGTTCTCAGCTCCACCACTCGGATGGTGGTACAGCTGTTCGGATTGCTCCAAAGCTGTCGGCAACCTGGGCGGACATGTGCGTGAATGCAGTGGCACATGAACGAGCATGATTAGCCAGAGGTGCATGAGGAGAAACATCTAGATCTGGTCATTGCCGTATGCACGTATATTGCATCAGTTGCGCTGGCCGTCTCATTTCGCGAACAATCGCGCGGCCCATCCGCGCCTCGCGGCGTCGGCAGCCCCCGAGGTCCCCGCGCGGCCTCCGCGCGAGGAGGTCCACGCGAGCCGAGTGCGAGCCCCGCGCGGGCTTTGCGAGAGCCGCACCCGTGCCCCCTTCGGTTTCCGCGCGGGCCCAGATGGGCTCGGGGAAACCCCGTACGGGCACCGCGCGAGCCCCGCGCGAGCCACCCGTGAGCCCCGTGCGAACCCTTCGCGAGCCTCAGGAGAGCCTTGCGCGGGGCTGGCGGGGCTCAAGCGCCGTGGTGCAGGGCGACGTCTATATGATTTGCTAACTTTTCGGGATTGTTTGCTATGCGCGTCTTTGTTGGCGAGGCATTTGTTGTCCGGTGTATCGGAGACGCGGAGGAGTTCGCAATGCGCAATATTATTTGTATCCAGGTCCATTGATTTTCGACGACGATTCGGCCCGTGGCTGTCGCGTGGTTTCCGCGGGTTTCCATGGGGCCTCGTTGGGTTCGCTTTGGTGTCGAGTACGGCTCGCTCGCGCTCCTGAAGGACTTGCGCTGAGCTCGCGCGGGGGTGCGCAGGCTTCGCGCGAGCCTCACGCGGGGCCGCGGGGCTTGGCTGTCTCGGGGCACGTGTGGGCACAGCGCGGAGATGCCACAAGTCTGCACGGCGCCGGCACGAACGCTCCTCGCGCATTCTTGCGACAGTACCGTGCTGTCGCCATCAGCCGCAAGGTTTGGACATGGCTTGGCTTGTGATCCCGTGGCAGTGGGCGAGCTGATGGCGTGCGTCGGGAACAGTGGCAAGCACCACGGTTTGAGCCTGAACTGGAGGAGGGTGGAATTGGTGAAGGTCTTTTCTGACGCTCACCTGCAGAACGGCGCCGGAGATCAATTTCAAGAAAAAGAAGCTCCTTCTTACTTCGGCACCTAGCCCGCGTCACACGGGCGATGCGGTTCGGAGCTTAACAGGAGAATCGATATGGGCAATCAGACTTTCAAATTTTGAAATCGGCATGATCACATTCTTCGTTGAACAGGCAGAGACACGTAGCAATTCTCAACGCGCGCAGGTTGTCTTAATCAGGGAAAAAGAAGGATTGGCGGCTCTCAGGCACGAAGTTTGAGGTCAAGTTTTCGCGTCCCGTCTGTTCATGTCAGTCGCGTGTCGAACAGTGCCTTGCTAAGCGGGACTGGCGAGCGCTCGTTCAGCGAGCTCATCGTCAAACAACATGGTTTTCTTTGGGCAGCTCGCCAGGCGCGCGGGAAATGATCCAGTGAGACAGTCGTCGTCTGAACATGGCAGTCTCGCTCTCGAGCAGCCAACAGATCCCCGGAAGAGATGGCGTCCCCGTTGTTTGGACATTGTTGGCACCCCTGCCCGTCTTGCTGATTACTTCCGCCAGGGAGGCGGTGCAGCGCTGGCACAGGAGTCAGCTATCCGCGCATGGCACCTTTGACTTCTGCGTTGTAGCATACTCCTTTGATTGCGCACCTTTTGGAGCAAGGCGACCTGGCCGACATGGCTTGCGATAGCCAACATGCCAGGCGTTGCGGGGTTCTCTGGGCAGGGGAGCTTTGCGCATGGTGCGCGCCGCCCGTTTCATCGCATCCGATGCGAACGACCTCGTGCAGGAGCGATCGTATTTGGTTCCGTGACGAAGACGGTGTCATGACATGCCAGAACAAAAATAAGGTTGTACACCACGAGCCGGGCTGGGTTTGTTTTTCTTGCCAGGGGCGGCTTTGTACACCTCAAGAATGGAGGGGAACGAGAAGGGGAAGGTTAACAATTCCCGTCGGCCCGTGGCGGCCCCGATGTTCGTGATTCATATCCTCTTTCCCGCCTCCGCCCTTTCCTCCTCCTTCTCCACTCCCCCCTCCGTCCCTACCTGCTTTTTCTGCGGTGCCTTAGATGCGGCGACGGGAAAGGGGCCTGTGGCCAACCCCCTCGAGTCAGAAGTGATGCGCCGAGCTACAGGAACCCTTCCACACTCCTGACCTCCCTCTCCCCCAGAGCGCGTCTGCATGTCGGTCAGACGCAATAGGAAGGACCTGGGAGGAGGAGGAGGAGGAGGAGGAGGAGGATGAGGAGGAGGAGGAGGAGGAGGAGATGGTGGAAGACGAACGTGCGGGGCCCAGGCGCTCGAAATGGAGAGGCCAGGGGTCCGAGCGTCCACTTGGCTCCCCGTGACAAATCTTCTGCGTGATTTTCCTGAAGTCCCGATTCTGAGGATCGGGGTGGCATGCGGGCTTATTAAGCTTGCAAGCCTTAGGCACGCAGCGCAAAGGCCCCGCAGCGCATACAGAAGATGACTGGTAACCCCGAAGGCACGATGGCAGTTTACAGGCTGTGTTCATACCCTGGCCGAGTCGCATCAGTCACCAGGTCCTGTGCCGACGGGGCCATGTGAAAGCAGAGCTTGTTTTGGACTTGGACAGTAGACTGCTGCATGCCTGGCGACGCCCTGAACACCATCGGCTGGGGGCCAAAATCCTTTGGGGCAGACCGGGGGGGGAGGGCTTGAGTGGGGCTGAGGGATAGTTTGTCCACCTCTGCAGAACCATCAATAAAGGGGTGCATCAAGGGGGCGCATCAAGGAGGGCCACGGGCCCAATCAGCCCCCGCCTCGTTCCCCGGCGGCGCACGGCGGGGCGGGCCGTGGGTGCAGGCATCGCTCTCGCCAATGCGCTGAAGGTCAACGGCGTTCTGGAGTCGGTCATGGTGGAGAGCCTTGCCGTCGGGGACACCGCCGGCGTCGCGTTTGCGGAGGCGCCCGTCGTTCCCTCCCTGCTCTGTCTCTCTTCTCTCCATTCCTTCTCTCCTCCTTCCTGCCCTTGCTCTTCCTCCTCCCGGTCCCTGCTGCTTTCAAGTGCGCAGGGGGTCCCAGCCAACGCTCTGTCTCGTCTTCTCTCTTTGGCCCGCTACTCTTCTCCACCTTTGCCGCACCAGCTCTGTTCCTCGGCCTGTTCCACCTGGTTTTGCCTGCTTGTGGCATCCTTTCTGCGCTTCTGTGCCGCTTCATCCTGCCTTGCACCGTCTGCTGTTTCGACCCTGGGTCAACATTGCGCGTATTTGGGAGCATCGTTTGGTCATCACGCTGCTCTACAAAGAAACCAATTATTTGCAAGTGCATTCCTTTGAGCTGCTCGCCGACTCTTTTATTCATTGGCTTACGCCACACCGCCGACCCCATGGGGCGGCAGCAATCGTCCCCCGCGTGGCCTGTCCGGACAGCCTGTGAGGCCCCTCCCGACACGTTTTGGAGCGCTCTTAGGACCGTCCTGCCGTTCCCCCGCGCCGTGGCTATGGTTTCTGGGGCCTTCGTGGGGCGCCCGGAGGCCGTCGTGGAGCCTTTTGGAGAGTCTCTCGGGGTGCCAGAGGTCGATCTTGGAGGTTTATTGGGCCGTTGCGGGCCTCGTGGAAGCCCAAGAAGCGAAGATGCTGAAAATGCACGTTTTCATTAAGGGATGGGACGGTTTTTGCTTTTGGAGGCCTGTTTGGAGCGCATCGTGGTCGCGTATGCAAACGTCTTGGACGCCCATGGGGCCGTCTGGAGGCAATTTTGGGCGGTTCGGACCGAATCGTCCCCCGCGCGGGCCGTCCGGACAGCCTTGAAGGGCCCTCTTGCTTCGTTTTGGAGCAATTTTGGGACCGTCCTGCGGCTTTCCTGGGCCGTTGCTATGGTTTCTGGGGCCTTCGTGGATCGCCTGGACGCCGTCTTGGAGCTTTCTTGGGATCCTTTTGGGCTGGCGAGGGTCGATCTTGGATGCTTATTGGGTCGTTGTGGGCTTCGTGAAAGCCCAAGAAGCGAATGTGCTGAACATGTACGTTTTACCCAAGGAATGGGACGGTTTTTGCTTTTGGAGGCCTTCTTGGAGCGCATCGTGGTCGCGTATGCAAACGTCTTGGACGCCCATGGGGCCGTCTGGAGGCAATTTTGGGCGGTTTGGACCGAATCGTCCCCCGCGCGGGCCGTCCGGACAGCCTTGAAGGGCCCTCTTGCTTCGTTTTGGAGCCATTCTGGGACCGTCCTGCGGCTTTCCTGGGCCGTTGCTATGATTTCTGGGGCCTTCGTGGATCGCCTGGACGCCGTCTTGGAGCTTTCTTGGGATCCTTTTGGGCTGGCGAGGGTCGATCTTAGAGGCTTATTGGGTCGTTGTGGGCTTCGTGAAAGCCCAAGAAGCGAATGTGCTGAACATGTACGTTTTACCCAAGGAATGGGACGGTTTTTGCTTTTGGAGGCCTTCTTGGAGCGCTTCGTGGTCGCGTATGCAAACGTCTTGGACACCCATGGGGCCGTCTGGCGGCGATCTTGGGCGGTTTGGACCGAATCGTCCCCCGCGCGGGCCGTCCGGACAGCCTTGAAGGGCCCTCTTGCTTCGTTTTGGAGCCATTCTGGGACCGTCCTGCGGCTTTCCTGGGCCGTTGCTATTGTTTCCGGGGCCTTCGTGGATCGCTTGGACGCCGTCTTGGAGCCTTCTTGGGATCCTTTGGGGCTGGCGAGGGTCGATCTTGGATGCTTATTGGGTCGTTGTGGGCTTCGTGAAAGCCCAAGAAGCGAATGTGCTGAACATGTACGTTTTACCAAAAAGGAATGGGACGGTTTTCGCTTTTGGAGGCCTTCTTGGAGCGTTTCGTGGTCGCGTATGCAAACGTCTTGGACACCCATGGGGCCGTCTGGCGGCGATCTTGGGCGGTTTGGACCGAATCGTCCCCCGCGCGGGCCGTCCGGACAGCCTTGAAGGGTCCTCTTGCTTCGTTTTGGAGCCATTCTGGGACCGTCCTGCGGCTTTCCTGGGCCGTTGCTATGGTTTCTGGGGCCTTCGTGGATCGCCTGGACGCCGTCTTGGAGCTTTCTTGGGATCCTTTTGGGCTGGCGAGGGTCGATCTTGGATGCTTATTGGGTCGTTGTGGGCTTCGTGAAAGCCCAAGAAGCGAATGTGCTGAACATGTACGTTTTCCAAAAGGAATGGGACGGTTTTTGCTTTTGGAGACCTTCTTGGAGCGCTTCGTGGTCGCGTTCTCAAACGTCTTGGACACCCATGGGGCCGTCTGGCGGCGATCTTGGGCGGTTCGGACCGAATCGTCCCCCGCGCGGGCCGTCCGGACAGCCTTGAAGGGCCCTCTTGCTTCGTTTTGGAGCCATTCTGGGACCGTCCTGCGGCTTTCCTGGGCCGTTGCTATTGTTTCCGGGGCCTTCGTGGATCGCTTGGACGCCGTCTGCGAGCCTTTTTGGGAGCCTCTTGGGCTGGCGAGGGGCGATCTTGGAGGCTTATTCTGTCGTTGTGGGCCGCGTGGAAGCCGAATGGGCGAATGTGCTGAAAATGTACGTTTCCCATCGGAAACGGGACGATTTTTGCTTCTGGAGGACCTTTTTGGGGCGCCTCGTAATATTGTTTCAGACGTCTTTGGGACTTATGGAGCCGTGTGGGGGCAATCCTCGGCGTTTTGGGGCGATCTCTCGTCGATTCGTAGCTCTCTTGGACCGCTCCAGGAACCTTTGGAACCTTTCTGGCCAGTTTTGGGGCCGCCTGAGGCTCCAAGTGTGCGGATGATGGATTTGCCCCCCCCCCTTCTCCAAACCGGCCGGACCAGGCCCCCGGGGGAGGGTTTGGGCAGGGGGAAGTATCTCACACGCCGTGACCCCAAGGGCCAAGGGGTCGGCGGATTTGGTGCGTTAGTGGAACATGCGTGTCTATGTCTATGTGTAGATGTCCACCTCCAGTTTGCAATCTATTCGTGTTGATTTTGGGACGTGGGTATCGCAGTCGAGACATGTTGGCATGACTGTGCGCTGGGTATACCATGTATTTCTTTGGACATAATGTATCGTGCTGTCTGTTGTCCCCATCTCCACGAGTGGCCCCTGTTGACGTTCCACCGGCGCCTTTTGTGCACCCTTGTGCATTCCCTTCCGGCGCGCACAAAGGGTCGGGCGAGGGCGGGCTGCTTTCTCAGATGAGTTTCAAAACGACCTCCGTTGTACAAAGCCATCTTGCCCTCGAAGAAGCATTTTTCGAAGCCTCCCATCCTTTCGAGCAAGTCTCTTCTCCTAGGAGGCCATCCCCCTCGCCCTACCTTTGTCGACGCACCACCAAGGCGAGTGAGGAGAAGGAGGAGGAGAAGGAGGAGGAGGAGGAGGCACCCAGGGGTCTCCAGATGCCCCTGGAGGTGTTTGGGCCTATTATGAAGCATCTTCCGGATGTCTGGAGGCGTCCCGAGATATGCGGACGTTTAGAAAATTACACAAACGTCCGAAATCCGCGTCGTCGTCTTTGCGGAATCTTCGTCGTCGTCGCGAACCTTCCCAGGCCTTGAAAGCCAACCAGAAGGTCAAAGCCTTGCAGCTCACTGGTGGGACCTCCCTCGCTGCCGCCTGCCTCTGGGAGGGGCCCACGCGCTCGATCGCCTCCAGGGGCCTTCGGCCGCCATCGCCGCACCGCCGCTCCCCGCCTGGCTCCAGGCACCACCTCGGTTCGCACCCGCCCCGATATGAGCCCCGGCATTATTGAATCGTTTCGCGCATTCCGCCAGCCCATACTGTGACGTCGCTGGCCTTTGCCCGCCCGTTCGTTGCTCTTTTTACGCTTCTCTGTGGTGGCCGTTCCTGCGCAGTTGTTTCTGGGGGGGTTGCATGGGGGCCGTCATGGTACATGTTGGTGTGCTCGTGGCGAGAAGGAGAAGAAGAATGATGATGATGATGATGATGATGATGATGATGATGATGATGATGATGATGATGATGATGATGAGGAGGAGGAGGAGGAGGAGGAGGAGGAGGAGGAGGAGGAGGAGGAGGAGGAAGAGGGGAGGATGAAGACAAGGAGAAGGACTCTCGATGGCTTCTTGGGCCATTTTGGGGCAAACCTTGGTCGTGGATACGACGCCTGTTGGGGAGGTTTCTTGGGGTCCTTGGGAGGCCTCTCGGGGGTATCTTGGGGCCTGGGGCATGACGGGGCATGTTTGTAACTGTTCACTTGGGGCCTGGGGCATGACGGGGGCCTTCTGAGGCATCTTGTGTGCCCTTTGGTGGTCGTGGGCAAAACGCTTTTGGGGAGGCTTCTTGTGGTCCTGGGGAGGCCTCTCGGGAGCCTCTTGGCGGTAATTTTGGGACCTCCTGGGGCCTGATTGGGGGCCCTTTGGGGACCTCCTTGGAACCTGTTGGGGGCTTCTTGGGGTTTCGGAAGTAGGGGCGGGGGCCCGAAAGCCACTTGTGGAAGCCGTCTGGGCCAGCCGTCTTGGGGACCTCGTTGGCTGTGTTGGAGGCCTCTTGGGCCGTTTTGTGGCCCTCCCGGGCCGTTTCGGAGCCTTGTTTTGAGCTTCTTGGACCGTCTTGGGGCGATTTTGGCCCGTCTTGGAGCGACAAGGAGCCAAACCGAAGAGAAAGCTTTTGGTACAAAGGGTAATTGAGTTGTTTTGCCTTCGTGGGCCCTCCTGGCACGCCTCTTGGAGGCCCCTTGGGGCGTCTTGGAGGCGTCTCCGGGCCATCGCAGCGGTGGGGGCAGCGGGGCAGCGCAGTGGGGCAGCGGCTGGGACAGTGGGGACAGTGGGGCAGCGGTGGGAACAGCGGGGCAGTGGGACAGTGGCGGGGAAAGCGGGGAAAGCGGGGAAAGCGGGGAGCGTGGGGCCGTGACGCGACATTGGTGGCGGGCAGTGGTGGGCACTGCGGGGCAGTGGTGGGGGCGGCGGCTGCGGGGGCAGTGGTGTTGGGACAGTGGGAATGTAGCGGGGCAGTGGGACAGCGGCGGGGGCGTGGCGGTCAGCGGTAGGGGGCTGTAGCGGCGGGGGCAGTGGTGAAGGCGGTGGTGAGGACGGTGGTGGGACAGTGGCGCAGTGGGGAGAGTGGCGGGGGCAGCGGGGGCAGTGGGCCAGAGGCGGAGGCAGTGGGGGCAGCGGGACAGCACAGTGGGGCACCGGCGGGGGCGGCGCGGGCAGTTGGGCAGCGGTGGAAACAGTGGACAGTGGGGCAGCGGTGGGGGCCGTGGGGGATGCGGGGGGAGCGGGGCCGTGGTGGGGCAGCGGCGGCGCGAGCGGGGGCAGTGAGGCACTGGCGGGGGCACCAGCAGTGACCCCTACCGGTTTTTCAGAAGGGGGGGGGGTCAAGCCGGCAGTGGCCCCCCCTGGTTTTTGTGAAAGGAACCCGTCTCATACCCTCATCTCTACTCCTCACTCGCCTGTTTGCTCGCCTTATCGGCTCAGGTACTGGAAGAGACCAGGACGCTGGTCGCACAGGGGGAAAATATCCTTACATTGTCCTCCTTTCTCTACCTACGGATCAGAAGGTTCCGTGCCTTTGTACTCTAACCCCATACACAGGTTATCAGCCCTTAAAGCTCACCATTCACCGAACCCTGCGTCGCGATCTCGCTCGCAGCCCCGATGGGTCTCCCGCGGCGCATGCGCCGTAAGGGATCCTTCGCGGCTCAGCGTCCGAGCTCTCCGACGGCGCGTCGGCTCGGTGATTAGACGGAGAGCCTTGGAGGTGACCGCGTGGGTGCCCCAGATCCCCCCTCCCCAGTTCCGACGGACCCGAGGCGCGTCTTGCGGCTGAGCTTCGCCGCCTCGCCGCCCACGGAGGGACAGGAGAAGGAGTGGGAGCATTCGTTGGAGGAGTTCACGTGCCTACCTTCGATCCTTCCTCTCCTCTTCCTAAGTCGGGAGCAATCCCTACTGCGTCGGGCGCAAGCCCCACTGGTCCCGATACTCGTGGGCGCTTCCGCGCATCCCGCCGTTGGAACAGTGGCTCCGGCCCAGCCAGCCCTGCCACCGTACCCGCGTCGGCGCACGTGGCGGCATTCGAAGAGCTCGGCAGGCCAGTGGCGGCACAGCCACATACGCAGTATCCCAAGGTATCATCGTCTCATCCGACACCGCACACACACACGGCCCTAACCGCAGCTCGTCCATGCGAAACCGTCGTGAGTCCACAGGCCCCTACGACGAGAACAGGTCGAGCACGCGCGCGGCCTCTCAGAGGCCACGCCCTCCTCGCGAGAGGGTGCCTCAGGGGGCAGACGCCCCTCACCTCTTTCTCTCAGACGACCTGCCGGCGGCTACGCCCGCTGCAGGTGACTTCGCTGAGAACGCCGCACGCACTGCTGCTCTTCGGCAAGAATTCGACGGCGCCCTAGCGATCATATATTCCGAGCTCCACCGAAGGCCCCAGTGGCTGCGCCCGCATGCGGTTCCACCCCCCGTTCTGGCACACCCCCTCACACGTTTCGTGGCCCAATAGGGAGCTCCACCGAAGGCCCCAGTGGCTACGCCCGCATGCGGTTCCACCCCCCATTCTGGCATACCCCTCGCACGTTTCGTGGCCCCATAGGGAGCTCCACCGAAGGCCCCAGTGGCTGCGCCCGCATGCGGTTCCACCCCCCATTCTGGCACACCCCTCACACGTTTCGTGGCCCCATAGGGAGCTCCACCGAAGGCCCCAGTGGCTGCGCCCGCATGCGGTTCCACCCCCCATTCTGGCATACCCCTCACACGCTTCGTGGCCCCATAGGGAGCTCCACCGAAGGCCCCAGTGGCTGCGCCCGCATGCGGTTCCACCCCTATTCTGGCACACCCCTCACACGTTTCGTGGCTCCATAGGCAGTTCCACCGAGCGCCCTAGTGGCTGCGCTCGCATGCGGCTCCACCCTCCCATTTCGGCACACCCCTCACTCGTTTCGTGGCCCGGGGGCGCCACCGAAGAATATATCCACAATTGCGGTATTCACAAATAGGTATGGTTGGGTCTTTCGTCAGTCTAAGTTTTGTTTTGGTCCAATTCGGCTCGGTCGCGGTTATCGGTTCTCGGTTCGGTTTTGTCTTTCCAGGTTGTTTGGCCCAGTATTGATTGCAATGGAGATACATTGTTTACGCTAGCACTGTCACTGTCACTCGCGTTATCACTAGCATCACGGTTTCACCATTATGAATATTCATACAACGGGAGGCCTCGGGATGCCACTACGCCCGACCGATTCCGGATGCTGCAGCGCATGGGGGCCACGGGAGTTCGTTGGACGCCACGTCGTTTGATCGATTCTGAATATGTTATTGCTCTTTTGGGTTCCCTAAAGATTTATAATAGAACCTCCCAATCAAGATATCTCGATTAACATAACGGGACCGACCGATGGTTGCTGCAGCCATTGCTCCGCCACGCGCTGACGCCCCTGCGGGGGTGGGGGATTGCGTCGCAGCGGCAGTGCCTTGCTATTTTTCCCAGCCATCCTGTGGTGTTGGGTCCTCGTTTTGAAGAGACGTCGCCCCGTGTTCGTTTCCCCTCCTTCCTCCTCCTCCCCTTCCTCCCCCTCCTCCCCCTCCCACACCCATTTTGGCACACCCCTCACACGCTTCGTGGCCCCATAGGGAGCTCCACCGAAGGCCCCAGTGGCTGCGCCCGCATGCGGTTCCACCCCCCATTCTGGCACACCCCTCACACGTTTCGTGGCCCCATAGGGAGCTCCACCGAAGGCCCCAGTGGCTGCGCCCGCATGCGGTTCCACCCCCCATTCTGGCACACCCCTCACACGTTTCGTGGCCCCATAGGGAGCTCCACCGAAGGCCCCAGTGGCTGCGCCCGCATGCGGTTCCACCCCCCATTCTGGCACACCCCTCACACGTTTCGTGGCCCCATAGGGAGCTCCACCGAAGGCCCCAGTGGCTGCGCCCGCATGCGGTTCCACCCCCCATTCTGGCACACCCCTCACACGTTTCGTGGCCCCATAGGGAGCTCCACCGAAGGCCCCAGTGGCTGCGCCCGCATGCGGTTCCACCCCCCATTCTGGCACACCCCTCACACGTTTCGTGGCCCCATAGGGAGCTCCACCGAAGGCCCCAGTGGCTGCGCCCGCATGCGGTTCCACCCCCCATTCTGGCACACCCCTCACACGTTTCGTGGCCCCATAGGGAGCTCCACCGAAGGCCCCAGTGGCTGCGCCCGCATGCGGTTCCACCCCCCATTCTGGCACACCCCTCACACGTTTCGTGGCCCCATAGGGAGCTCCACCGAAGGCCCCAGTGGCTGCGCCCGCATGCGGTTCCACCCCCCATTCTGGCACACCCCTCACACGTTTCGTGGCCCCATAGGGAGCTCCACCGAAGGCCCCAGTGGCTGCGCCCGCATGCGGTTCCACCCCCCATTCTGGCACACCCCTCACACGTTTCGTGGCCCCATAGGGAGCTCCACCGAAGGCCCCAGTGGCTGCGCCCGCATGCGGTTCCACCCCCCATTCTGGCACACCCCTCACACGTTTCGTGGCCCCATAGGGAGCTCCACCGAAGGCCCCAGTGGCTGCGCCCGCATGCGGTTCCACCCCCATTCTGGCACACCCCTCACACGTTTCGTGGCCCCATAGGGAGCTCCACCGAAGGCCCCAGTGGCTGCGCCCGCATGCGGTTCCACCCCCCATTCTGGCACACCCCTCACACGTTTCGTGGCCCCATAGGGAACTCCACCGAACGCTCCAGTGGCTGCGCTCGCACGCGGTTCCACCCCCCATTCTGGCACACCCATCACACGCTTCGTGGGTGGCTCTATGGGGAACCCCACCGAACGCCCCAGTGGCTGCGCCCGCATGTGGTTCCCCCCCCATTCTGGCACACCCCTCACACGGTTCGTGGCCCCATAGAGAGCTCCACCGAAGGCCCCAGTGGCTGCGCTCGCATGCGGTTCCACCTCCTTTTTCGGCACGCCCTTCCCACGTCTCGTGGCCCCATAGGGAGCTCCACCGAACGCCGCAGTGGCTGCGCTCGCATGCGGTTCCACCCCCCATTTCGGCACACCCCTCACACGTTTCGTGGTTCCATAGGGAGCTTCACCGAAGGCCCCACTGGCTGCGCTGGCATGCGGTTCCACACCCCATTCTGGCACACCCCTCGCACGTTTCGTGGCCCCATAGGGGGGGGGCTCCACCAAAGGTCCCAGTGGCACTGCCCGCTTGCGTCCGCCACCACCCAGCACAGCCCTTGTTCCCTGCGCTTCACCCACCCAGAACAGCGCTTCGTAGCCTTAGAGGGAGCTCCACCAAAGGTCCCAGCGGCACCGCCCGCATGCGTCCGCCACCACCCTGCGCAGCCCTTGCTCCCTGCCAGCGTTTCACCCATAGGGAGCTCCACCGAAGGTCCCAGTGGCACCGCCCGCATGCGTCCGCCACCACCCAGCACAATTGCGGCATTCACATCTGCATATGGGTGGGTCCTTCGCCAGGCGAATTTCTTGCGGCATGCCACTCGAATTTTGTTCGGTGCAGTCGCCCTCGTGCAGAAGTAGGGCGGCCCAGCCGGCCTAGTCTTGCACGGGTCGATCCGCCAGAAGCAAACGACAGATTTGCCCATATGCCAGCACGGATCGTTGCACAGCCCGCTAAGCACCGAGGTCCGTCAGAGCGGCATGAAGAGGAGAGCGATGAGGACGCTGAGGAGGAAAAAGGCGAATGCAAGGGCCAAGGCGATGTTGAGGAAGGCGGGTGATGGAGTGAGGGCTCTTCTGGCTGGGGGGGGGTTAAGGCGGGCTGCTGAGCAACACGACCATGGCGGCGCTGGCGGAGGCCCACAGCCATTGCGCGGTCCCCACTTCTCGCCCCCCGCCGCTCCCCCCCCCTCTCCCCCCGCGCACTCTCTTCTCGTCCTGGTCCTCGTCATCGTCGTCGTCGTAGCCACCGCCGCCGTCGTCTGCGTCATTGTCATCCCCTCGTCCTCCACCTCCACAACAACACCATATATACCCAAAGCGAGCGCTCAGTGGGCTGCGGCTGGCAGCTCTCTTGCTGGCGGCCGTTTTGCGACGACGCTGAGACCAGTGCTCCACTTCCTGTGCTCTGACTTGGCAACGACACGTGCCGTGCTGGTCGCGGTGGTCATCTTAGGTGCATTGCCATCGTATCGTCAGTCGCCCTGAGAAAACATTTATCCGAAGCCGGTGCCCTTGCCACGTGTTTGTCTTTTGGGATCCCCTGGGGGGTCTCTCGCTGTGGTGTCGCTTCGGAATCTTGATCATCTGGCACTCCGGGTGAAGTCTGCGAAGTGGTATTTGGCTTTCCAATAACATGTGTTGTGTTGGTCATGTCTGGTGGGTTGCCATCGCCTCCACTGTCTTTGCAGCAAAGTGCACGTAAACGTTTGTGCTGCACAGGCCCGAGGCTCCACGTCACCTGGCCCTCAGGCCCTCAGTCGTCCCGAGGTCTCGCTGTCACTATTGCTGACCGCCACCACCAAAATATGCGCTTCAGCTCCAGACTCGCACTTTTCGGACATCGCAGTTCTGGAAATCATTGTAGGGGACCCTGGACAGGATGGCGATAATGGGTCTGGCTGTCCATCCTGCCCACCCCGACCTCTCTACCTCTTCCCCTCCCATCTCATCCTACTTCCGCGCCTCCTACTGAGTCCCTACTGAGGTGGAGGAACCTCCTCTTATCTAGTGAGCAACTTCTAATAGTTTCTTTCCTATCTATCGGTGAGCCCTTTCCTACCAATGTTAACTTGCGTGGACCCGAAACTATGATTTCTTGTCTCTTGCAATATATGCGGGTGCGCTCAATGCTGGGTAATTCGGGTGGTCGAGTTTACGTGGTGCAACATACAACCAATGCAAGGCAATGCAAAGCTATGCGCAGCAATACAGCGAAGTGTAAGGCAGTGCGAAGTGATGCAGAGCAATCCACAGTAGCGCACAACAATGAACATCACTGCAAAGCAATGAAAAGGTAATGCACAGCAATGCAAAGACATGGGGAGCAATACACAGGAATGTACTGCGATGCAAGGCACTGCGAAGCGATGCAACGCAATGTACAGCAATGAAAAGCAATGCGGACCAATGCAACGCAATGCGAAGAAAATCAAAGTATTGAAATGCAATGCAATGCAACGCACTGTAATGCAACACAATACAACGCACTGCAACTCAGTGCAAAGCAGTGCACAGCAATGCAATACGATGCAAAGCAATGCAAATCAAAGTACAGCACTGCAAATCAATGCAAAGCAATGCACAGTAAAGCAACGCAATGCAAAGCAATGCACAGCAATGTACAGCAATACAACGCGCTGCAAATCAATGCGAAGAAATGTACCTCAATGCAGAGCGAATACATAGCAATGCAAAGCAGTTCCAAGCAACGCAAAGCAATGGAATTCAATGCTAAGCAACTCAAAGTTTTGGCATGCAACGGACATACACGCAAAGCAATGCGGAGTAAAGCAATGCAAGGCAATGCACAGCAGTTCGAATCAATTCAAGCAACGTAAGCAATGCAACCCAAGGCAAAACAATGCGAAGCAACGCAATGTGATGAAAAGTGGTTGGTGGCGATGGCGGCGGCGATGGGCTGCGGCGGGTCACAAGCCGACCGGACCGTTTCTGGAGTTCAGCAACTATTGGCGTTGGCGTTCGCGACGGGCGGCGACGGGCGGCCGAAAGCTGGCCGGACCGGCACCCGAGCTCGCGGCGACGGGCGGCGTTGGTCGATGATTTTCCGAACGTGCTCTAGCCCAATGTGTGTTATCCTCCCTCAGCTCCGCCGACACCTCGCAGCTCTTGACAGTCATCAGCGCGCAGAAGCAAGTGTTGCGGGGCCTCGTCGGGGCGGTTCTCGGAGCGGCTCGCCCCTTGCCCTTACCCAAAAATTGACTCTCAGCTCCTCCTCCTGTCCTTATCCTCTTATTTCCTCCGCCTCCTTAATCCCTTCCCTCCTCTTCCCCGCTCCTGCACCTCACCCCTCTCCGCCGACAGCTGGCTGGTGCACATTAATTTCCGTTGCTGACATAACCCTTTCCGTCAGTAAGGGTGGTTGTTGACGTAGAAATAGCAACGTATTTTCGGTAGCTCAGAGAAACCGACGTTATTTTCCGAAACTGACGTAACGCTTCCTTAAGTAACGGAGTTTCCCTGTTAGTTCACGTAAATGTTCCGTCGGTTCTGCCAGTTCCGTCAATTGGTTGCGCGGCCTGTGGCAGAGCTTGGTTCCCGCGACGCACGAGGGACACGTGTTTCTCCAGCCCATCTATTCTGAGTCAGCCGCGTTTTCCGCATTCAATTTCGCGCGCGGCACATGCGATCCACCAGCGTGCCGGGACGCTCTGTGACGCGCGTACATGTGCGTTTACACAACGTGCAATTTACCGACGGGTTTCGGTGGACAAACACACGTTAGCATTAGCACACGTTCTGAGGATCATCGAGTTTGGCGGCCGCAAGTCGGGTGGACGGGCACCGGAAGTCAGTTGCCTTACAGGCGAAGTAGGAACCGTATTGTGTAGGGAGGAGGAGAAGACAGGAGTGAGGGGGAGGAGTGGGGCCGACGGGATCCTTTCTTGGCTTTGCCAGGCGTGTGAGCATGCCATTTTGGAATACGTTTCGGGGGCGAACCCTAGCTGTCGCCCGAAGGCCCATGCCCTCCAGCCCCTGCGTGCGCGAGCGCGACGCAGATGTCGAGGCAGATGTCTTATCTACCTCTTGCTGGCCTCACAGGTCGTTATATTTCTTGGCAGTGTTTTGCCTTGGTCTGCTTGGCGCAGCGCTTGCACGCGCATGGTGAGTTGTCCGAATTAAGTATGCACTGGTGCGCCAGGCGCCTCTCGATGGCCGAGGCGCCGGATTTGTTTGCAGCGAGTCCGCCTTTGGAGGATGCTTATGGGATGTCGATGAGAATGGCGTGCCCTGCCCGAGTGACGGGGGCCCGTCGTGCGGAATTCTCGCCGGCGCCCGTTGGTCGCGGTGGTGCCGTGGGGGAGCGTGCGGCCCATTGCGTCGTATATTGTTGCTGCTGTGTAGATCGGTGGTGCTATGATGTTGCACTTGTCATCCCCATCCCCATCTCTTGTGTCAGAGGTCTTTGCCAATGCCAGTCTTGTCTCTGGGCTGCCCGTGCCCGTCTTGTTGGAAGCTGCGTTGTCGGATACTTGTCAGTGTCATGGTTTCGATTGCTTGGTCGTCCCCAGGTGATTGTTTGTTGTGCGCTGCGGTGATCACTGAATAGCTCCCGAGCTGAGTCGAGTTGTTGATGGGTGCGCTTTGGCGTGCGCAAGCACTGAAGTACGCAGGGCCGCAACCAGAGAACCGCAAACCTCATCATCCCCTCCTCCCCCCTGCCTGTTGTGCTATGCTACGAAAGCCGATTCAAGGCAATGCAACAAATTGCACTGCGATACAAAACAACACAACGTAACACAACACAATTCAAAGCGATACAATGCAACGCAATGCGATGCCAAGCGATGCGGCGCAACGCAAAGCATTGCAAAGCAATGCGAAGGAGCGCAACCATGACGCAACGCCATGCAAATCAATACAGAGGAACGGAAATCAGAGGGTAAATAACCTCCCCCGCTTTCGCTTCCAGACAAAACCAAGTCATACCACGTGCCCCCTAGTCAAGCAGCCTGCGCTTCACAACGCCATTATCGGTCGTGTCCTCGCTCCGCTCCCCTCTGCCCCACCTCAAAGCTCTCGCGGCAAGCGTCGGTGCCCATCCTCTTCGATGCATGAAACCCCTCGCAGCGTCGCGCAGCCAGCGTCTTGGGAGCCGACGCCCAGCCAGCGGGTTCATGAGTGCATTGCAGATGTCGACTTTGTTGCATCACCTCAGCTTTGCGTGTCTTTTTGAAACGCGGGCGGGATGTGATGTTTGTTTCCGAGCTTATTTCTCTGACGGGCCCCGAGATTTGTCATTGTTTTTGCTGGGGGGTGGGCGCCTGCTTGGCCGAAAGATTTACTTGCTGGCAGATTGTCTGACTGGCCGGCTGGTTGGCAGATCGATATATCGACAGATTCGTTGTCAGGTTGCGCCTGAAAGTGGTCCGTCATTGGTTTCGGCGGCCATCCGCCCCACTTAAATGGCAGCCAGTGGCAGACCGCTTCGGGCCTCGGCGGCATAATGCGCGCCCTATGGTGCGTTCCGCGGCGCGACCCAGACCGCAGCGCGCAGCGCGCCCTTCGACGCAACCAACGGCGCAAACTACGGTTCCGATTCAGGCGCAAATCATGGGCTGCGCAATTTCTGGAGCAACTCATGGCGCAATTAGAGGCGCAAAAGATCGCGCGGCACTGGCGCAACATTTGCCGCAGCAAGCAATTTTGCAACCTTTGCGGAAATTCGCGTTGCGACCAGTGGGCGGCGCAACCCGCGGCGCAAGCCTTGGCGCGACCAATGGCGCAGCCCATCGCTCAAGCCGCTGCGCGACCCGTGGCGAAACCGATGGGTTGCGAGAAGAATTGCTCAACCCATGGCGCAAGCAATGACGCGATCCCTGCGCGGCGCTACCCGCGGCGAGTCTGATTGCGCAACATCTGGCGCAGCTCGCGCGGCAACCCGCGCCCTGCCTCACGGCGCAAGCACTGGCGCAACACGCGGCGCAATCCAGGACCCAATATGCACGCATCCGTTTGCCCAGAGCGGTTGGTCCGTGCTGCGCGCGCGGGGGCGCGCCCGATTGGCGCTCCCTACTTAGGCGTGTTGCGGGCCCCGCGCGGCGAGCTGTCTTGTGAATGCTGGGCGTCGAAACTGCAGCCACGTGTGGCGGCGGGTTCATATTCTTTCATTCCCTTGGGCGGCACTGGCGCTGAGGGGTCGTTGCTGTCAGCACTTATGATACTTATGGGATTCGGAGGGTATGCCAGTTTCTCGGCTGTCGGCCATCCGCAGGCGCCAGTTGGCGCTTCGTGAGAGCCTCGCGCTATGCCCTTGTATTTTGGGAGTTATGTTCGCATCCGTCCGCGGGCGCTTGCGGGCGCTTCGCGGGCGCCTAGTGCGTCGGTTGGGTTTTCTGGGCATTGGGCCGGTGGCCGCCCGCTAGTCTCCGCGAGCGCCTCGCAGGCTCATCGCGCGCTGGTTGCACCTAGCTTGCACCCCAAAGTTTCTACCGCATAGCGCGCTGCAGAAATTGCATCGCGCGCGTGGCCCCTAGCAGATTGCGCCGCGCAGCTTGTGCCGCATGGACTACGACATAGTGGTTCCTCTACACGGCTGGCGCGACGTAGTCTGCATTGCGCGCATTTCGCCTTGTAGCGCGCGCCACGACACTTGCGTGACATACCTCCTCTTGCGTAAGGGGACTCCTTTGAGTCTAACCTTCAACCCCCTTCCAGCAACATCTTAGGAAATATCGTTTTGGATGTCGCGCCCACCCGCCGCCGCGCTGCCCCCCCCCGTCAGGATTCATCGCGCTTTGTGCTTGCGCAGCATGCCCGACCCTCTGAGCACCGAGACGCCGCATAATGCGGCGGGATGCGTCTGAGCCTTGAGCCAAAATGGCTTGAGCCAGGCGGCGGCGACGACGACGACGACGACAACGACGACGGACGACGACGACGGGGAAGACGACGACGACGCGCGCCACTGCGTTTGCTCCATCGGCGCGTGCGTGCGTGTGCGTGCGCGCGTGTGCGCGCGTGCTGCGAGGGTCCGCCGTAGTCGACGACGACGACGACAACGGACGACGACGACGACGACGACGACGACGACGACGACGATGACGCGCGCCAGCGCGGATGGCCCGTAGGAGGGGGGGGTCGCTGCGAGAGTCCCCAGTAGTCGACGACGAAAACGAATGCGATCACGGCGACGACGACGACGACGACGGATGAAGACGACGCGCGGTTGCGGCATTTCATCATTTCAGTAGATGCTGTGTTGGTCGCAAGCGCGATTCTCCACGCGCCGCCGTCCTAGCGGGGGGCGAGGCGGGAACGGAATCACGGCCCAGCGCCGTGCATTCCACGAGCTCGCTGGCCTGGCAGGCGCGGCAGGTTTCGCGCGTCATCTACATCGGCCACGGCTGGCCATTCCCCGAACTCCTCTGCCTGGTAGGGGGGGCAGGGTCCGAAAATTAATCCAACTGTCAGCCGAATTCACTGGCGATGTCCTCCGCCAGGGGCGGCTAGGCGTCGCAATGAACAGCGACAAAAATGCCTTTCCCCGCGGGGCGCGCCGCCCAACCGGAAGGGGGGGGCCGATGAACTCAACGCTGACTTCCCCGAAACGTGGCCGAAGGGGGCGGGGGGCGCATGTCCAGATTCCCCTCTTCGCCGGAACTCCCGGCGAGGGCCGGCGCCCTTCGGACACCTGAGTACCAGATGCGTTTGTTTTCCTCGCCGTTACGCTTCCGATGGGCCTCGCGGGGCTCCAGGCGACGCCAACGCAGCCCAAGAGACCCCTAATCAACGCCGAACCCCGAGAGGGCCCGACAAAACTCCCAAAAGTCACCCGATCGCGCTCACAGAGAGCCCCCGCGAGGCACGGGTTCGGCCTCGATGGAGAGGGGGGGGCGCGAATTGACGCAGCTATCTGTCGCCCATCCGCGGCTCCCCAAAAAAGCCCAAGAGGGCCCCAAGACCCCCCCAAAGGAGCCCCGCGAAGCTCTCCAGAAAACCAAAATGAATTCCAGAATGGACCCAAGCTGGCTCCAAGAAGCACCCGGCCAAACCTCCGAGAAGATGGCGGAGCGAAACCTCCGAGAAGGCGCGTCGTTTTCGTCGACGTCTGCGCCGCCGTCTTTTCACTCCCCCCTAATATGATACTGGTTCGTCGTCTTCTATTCCCTTTCATCTTCGCCCCCCTCCCCCCCTCCACCCCCTGCCCCCCCCAACCGCTCCCCGACCCCGCCTCCTCATTCCCGCGCGC